TCTTCCCCTGTGTCTCTAGTTTGTGTCAAGCTGCCAGCCACTGACTAGCAGATATGACGCACCCACAAGGACAGGAAGGTCACAATCTCCAGAACACTGCTTTCACATTTGCCCTGCCCCTGCCTCGCGGGGAGGTGATGAGGTAGGCTAGCCAGGTCTACCGGCACGAAGTGAGACTGCCTCGCTCCACAGCCCTGAGACTCCTACCTTTGGGGCTAGAGTTCTGAGTTCCAGTTCAGGAGAAACTTAGTCAGTTGCTCACTTCAGTGACAGTGAGACCTGCAGGTCAGGTCTGCTCACCTGTCAGACAGTCCACCGGTAGCCATTTGGCCACAGGGTTTTGCTGCAAGGGAACAAGGCAGGTGGCCTGCCGCCGGCTGTCTCTGCCTAATTCATGTCATCCTGTTTAGTACCATCTGGCCCTCAGCTCCTTGATTCTCTGACTGTCCCTCTTCAAGGACCCTCTTGAAGGGACAGATTCACGGGCTGGTGCCATTCAAGGATCCTTACTCAGACAATAACACATGCCCAGCCTTTATCAGGGCAAGACTCACAAAGAAAAAGCCAGCACAAACAGGGCCGTAGAGGTTCTGGGAGCCACACAGCCTCAGGTTGGTGTATCTGAAGGATTGCCTGTTTTGAGCCCCCGCCCCTGAAATACTGTCTCCCCTGTAGGCCTTGTGGGGCACGGAAGCTGGCCTTATCTGCTTTGCAATTCTCCTTTGCCCCAGGAGAGACTGGAAATACACTCTTTCTAGGAGCTGATAGGAAATTAACCCACATCAGCACAATACTGGATGATGCTGAATTGGGGACAGGAAGGTCCATTTCAAAGGGAAGAAAAAAAAATGTTCTTTGTAACCAGGCCAAGGCTAAACATGCCTTCTCTCTATTGGTCCAGATCTGTGCCAGCCTCCCACTGATCCGTAGGTGTGCCGAAAGCAGCCTAGAGACTTTTATAGAGACTGTCACCATGGCACTAGGTGTTGGATTCTGCTGTATCAAAATGTCAAAGGAAGAACGAATAATCGTGGGGCCTTTCGATCTGCAGGCATTTCTGGGTGCTTCTGTGTGTGTCTGCTTCTGCATTCGATGTCAGCAGTAATCCGATCGGCCGGGACGCTGGCCTCTATGCAGCTCACAGGGACTTACAAGCCCGGCCAGCACTGCCCCATGATCTGATTTCTCTCACAACAGCCTTGCAATACTGTAATCCCCATTTTGTCAGTTCGGGGATTAGGGGTGCAGCTTGTCCACATGGATCCAAAGTTTGGAATGGAAGGTGTGGCTTGGACCTGGCGGTGTCTCGGCTGGAAACAGAAGGTCTATGAAGTAGGAATTCTGAGACAAATTAACAAAGGATCCTTTCCTGGAAACTGGGAGTGAGCTGGGGGGGACAGCAGAGGTGGCAGGGCATCTTAGACTAGCCACAGAGAAACTCTGTGGCCTGCTGTTAGCTTAAGGGGGAAGGAAAGGAAACATTAGGGTCCAGCAAGGCCGCAATGCGGAGGGGCCTAGGCCTGGAGCAGGCCAGCCTGAGCAGAGTGGTGGCATCTGTTCTAGGTTCAGAGGTTTATGCTGGCAAGCTTTTGTATTTCTTATGCTTACACCTGCCAAATGGGCTGGGCTGGGCTCCAGGCTGAGATCAAATTTGGGTCTCTTTCCTATGCTGTTCATCTTCATTGGACCAGGAGACATGCTTCCTCATTGCGTCACTCAGCTCTCCAGCTCTGTGACAAAACACCCAAGGCAAACAACTGTAAAAAGAAAAGTCTGTCTTGGCCCATGGTTTTAGAAGCTACAGTTCAGGGTTGCATGGTCTTGTCATCTGGGGCCTGTGGCTGACAGCTCAGTCCACCATGGTGACCAGAGCATGTGGAAGAGGCCAGCGTGCCTCAGGACAGATGGGAAGAAAACAGAGAGGAAAGGGCCCGCATCCCGATAGCCCCTGTAAGGGCTCGCCCCCCAGTGTCTTAACTTCCTCTGGGCCTCGCCTCCTAAAAGTCCCACAACTTCCCAATAGTCCAGCTGCTAGAGACCAAGTCTCCACCACACGAGGCTTTAGAGGACATATAAGACCCATATAAGTGCTGATGTGGTGACTCCATGGGTAAAGATACTTGCTTCTAGCCCTGGTGATCTGAGTTCCATCCCTGGGACCCACGGGTTGGAAGGAAAGAACTGACTTCTACAAGTTATCTCTGATCTCCACAAGTGTACCATCACACACACACACACACACACACACACACACACACACACACACACACACACACCTGTCAACAATAAATAACAACAACAACAATAATAATAATAATAATAAAACACAAACCATTCAGCTTGAGCCACAGCTCAGTCTGCCTACTACACGTGAGGTCCTGGCTTCAGTCCCCAGCACCGTCAGAAGAAAAAAGAAATCCAAACCATAATACTCATTAAGATGAAAGCGGCAGAGGGACCGTAGTGAGCACCACATCAGCGCCACAGGAGGCAAACCCATCATTGACCAAGAGACAGCTGAAGGGCACATTGAGCGGTGTGAGTACATAATCCAGTACAGGAGAATGGAGAACTGGAAAAATATTCCAACCCACCACACTTCCCAGAGGGAACAAAATATTAAAAAGAGGAAGAAATATAGGTAGAAACCAACAAGTGTCCCACCCCAGAGTTTGGTATCACGTCCATTTGTGTAAGCTGAAGAGGTCTGTGTATGCTGGGGGTCGGGTGAGGTCTGTCCTCGGGATTGCTTCGTGTGCTGGGGTCAGGACTAGAGGGGTGCTGGGCAGTGGGTGAGAGAGTGGGCAGTGGCAGGCTCTGCTGGAGGCTTCAGGATTCTTCTGAGAATGTCACGGTCAAATTCAGGGAAATGACAAACTTGGAGGTCACAGCCTAACTCTGGGCTCTGAAGCACTCAGAATCCTAGAGTGTCGTGAGCAGCACGGACAGAAGACAGAATCGCGTGGTTTTCTTGGCAGCAGTAGTGGCAAGCCTTGTCCATTGGGGTCCCAAACCTGACCACATAGGCGCAAGTTTAGGGGATTTGGCTTGGTTCTGAGCCCCACAAACATGAGGCCTTCAGTTCAGATCCCAGCACCAGGTGAAAAAAAAGCTGGGCATGGCTGTGTGTCTATAATACCAGCACTGTGGGGAGCAGAGACAGGAGAATCACCGGGGCGCTGACTGCCAGCCTAACTCTGGATTCAGTGATAGATCCCTGTCTGAAGAGAATAGGCAGCAAGTGACAGAGTAAGACACCTGATATTCTCCTCTGGCATCCCCCTGTATGCACCCGTGTATGTACAACATGTGCACACACACACACACACACACACACACACACACACACACACACACACACACACACGACTGCAGATTCATGACAGGAGAATGCTAGAGAGCTCCATGCACTTTGATGCCCACACTCGGTTGCCTTGGTTTCAGCAGATGTGCCCGTCATTTGCAGCTCACACTGACTAATGGCCGTGCTTTGAGTGTGCCCAGTGGAGAAGCTGAGGAGCAGGGCTCTCACAGAAGATGAAATGTCTGCTAGTCCCTGTGGAGACTGAAGTGGACCATTTGACCTTCAGCCTCTCACTTGAAGGGGGACCTTAACAGAAGGCGATGTGTCCAGCAACCTCGCAGGAAAGGGCAAGGTGTGCAATGTCCCGTCTGCCAAGAAACTGGATGGAATAAGAGAATATGCTCAGGAAGCCAGAGACAGGCACTGGAAGGGGTGCTTTCCCTTTGAGAACACAGGCTCGGGGCTCAGGCCTGAGTGTTGAAGGATAAGAACTGATCACGGCCTGCGCTGGGAACACATAACACACACTGCCTTGTCTTAACGGGCTTCCAGTCAGACACGCCTGCTTTCTCAGTGGCTTCCTCCTTGTATGGCCCTGGGCCAGCACGTTCACTTCTCTGGGTCAGAGTTTTGGTCACATAAAATGCAAAGTGAGAGGTGGTGGGGGACAAAGGTACCCTGGTTCAGTCTGCTGTCAGAACCAGGGAGAGAACATGTCATGTGAGTGAGATGTGCCAGTCACACCCATGTCAATAATACACGTTAACTTAGACCAGTGGTTCTCAACTTTCCTGATGCTGCAACCCTTTAATACGGTTCCTCATGTTGTGGTGACCCCCAAACCATAAAATTATTTTCATTGCTACTTTATAACTGTAATTTTGTTGCTGTTTGAATCATAATGTAAATATGTGTGTTTTCTGATGGTCTTGGCGACCCCTGTGAAAGGGTTGTTTGACCCCAAAGGTGTCATGACCCACAAGTTGAGAGAGAACTGCTGACTTAGGGCTTTCTTAGTTCTCCCATAAGGAAGTGATGGAGAAGGGAGGGAAGGAGGGAGGGAGAGAAAGAGGAAGGGAGGGAAGGAGGAAAGGAGCATGGAGGTATTAAGTCATCTTGTCCCCAAGGATGGGAAGGAAGGAAGGAGATGGGTAAGAGACAAGGGAGGTGGAAGGCAGGGGTAAATCCTAAGCCCTCTTCCCTTAGAGAATGTAACCTTTCAAGTACCTAGCGAATTGGGAGTTACCATCCCTCCTTCTCTGAGTAGAAACTGGCTTAGCAAATTACCTCTTGTAATTTATAAGACCTTGGGCAAATTACTTCACCTCTCTGTGCCTCAGTTTCCACATCTGAAAACTGAAGGTGAAAGTGATATCCCGGTCATGTGACACTGTCTGGTGTGATCTACCCGAGTAAATGTCATGACACTGTAAAAGGACAACTTTGCAAACCAGAGCCTTGGCCATGCCATGAGAATATTCTTTTGCTTTTTAAGCCGTACAATGCATTTCTTTAAACAAGTGAGGAACTTCCTGAGGAGGCTGAGGCAGGAGGATTGTCATGATTTCAAGGCTTTCCTGGGCAAGAATGGCAAGTAGCAGACTAGCCTGGGCTACAGAACAAGACCAATCTCAAAAAAAAAAAAAATAAGTTTCACCATTATCAAGGCCTGATGTATGAATTCATCTTTACTTACTTCCTTTTCCTGCTCCCTGAGTGGCGCTCATGGGTGTCACAGGTTGCTCCAAGGTACACAGGACGGGGAGGTGGTGAGGAGGTGCCCGGGAAAGAGGAAGAGAAAGAATTCCCAGGGAACAATGTTGAAATAGTAACTGCAGACAAGGATTCACGGCAAGAACAGTCAGCTCCTGTCAGGGCAGCATCCGGGAGGGTGACAGAATTGAACACACAGGAGGAAGGCACTTGGGACCTGGCATTCTCCCCCGAAAGCTTGCCAGTGAGGGAGTTCTGAGCCTCTAATCCCAGATTCCCCCTTATGACCAGTGGTTCCCTGGCAATGATCTGAGACGGCGCCATTAACAAAGGCCAAAAGCTACTTAGCCGGTGAGGGTGAAGCGGAGATCGGACAGGTCCCCAGGTCCCTGGCTGCCTTCCAGCTCGTCTCAGAAGCAGCTCAGGTTTCTGGCCCAGTGGATGACTAGTGTGGCCTCTCCAAGCAGATCTGGTTGCACTCCTGAGCTGCCGCCAGCCAGGGCCTCATGAGGAGGTCAGGCCTCCACTCTCTCGGGTGATAGTATCAGCTCACCCAGCCCCATTTGAAGCAGATTCCAAGGAGCTCTGGATTTGCCGGTGTTTCTTGTCATTTCCTTTTGCTTTTCTTTCCACCCTGTGACTTGAACAAATCACTGAGCCTCTCCCAGCCTCAGTCTCCCTATTAGTGTGGGAGGATGAAGGCCCTGGGTGGCGGAGGGAACTGAGTCATGGTGGTTTGCCCACTTCTTGGCTTGTACTAAGGGCTTCATAAACATTGGCTAACTTTGAGTAAACACATCCATTCCTGCTGGTTAAGGTGTGTATCCCTCAGCAGAATTCCTTGTTTAATTGGAAAAGGCTGCTCTGTCAGATCTGCATGGAGTAGAAAAATGGCACACTCCCCATTCAGTTCTCAAAGACGTGGGCTTCGGGTCCAGGTTAGTGATTTCTTCCGGGGCACTGGCTGGTGGCAGTGCTGAGCAGAACCCAGGCCTGTGAGTCCCGATTCCCCTTTTCTCCAGTGTGCAAGTGCCTTCACATATACCTGACTGCATAGTACCACGGGACCACAGCCACACACAGAGCAGGGAGTCAATGCACACAGCCGCTTTCCTTTGTCTGGGTCTTACTCTCCTGCAGTGCATTGTGGGAAACTCTTCTCATCTCTAAGAAGCCTTGCCAATTAGCGTGCTTCTTGCTTTTCAATGTCATCCTCTCCAAATATTTGACTTGCTCTTAAACTTCATCCCCAAGCCACAGCCATGGCTACTTTTCTCCAGTTCAAAGGAGAACAGAAGAAACATGCCTCTCTGTGTGTGTGTGCACATGTGTGCGGTGTGCATGAGTGTGCATACATGTGTGTGTACAGGAAAATCAAGGCAAATATGAATGGACTGGGGCCTTTCCTCTCTTGAGGAAGAAGAGAGAGAGAGAGATCTGGTCTTAGGAAAATCATGGCCCAAATAAAACTTGGTGCTAAATCTTGAAGATCATTGATAGCATTTGATTTTTGTAAGCCTAAACTGCAATTTAGCCAAAACCTGTTTTGTTTAAAAATAAACAGCATGGTGGGTTAAGGAAATCTCTAGACCAGAAAGACTGGAGTTCAAGCGCAGCTTTACCATGCACTGCCTCTGAGACTATCTCCAGGTCTCAGTCTTCTCATTTGGGATGATACTGCTCTCCTCCTCGGCTCTGTGTCAGATAGGAAATGATTGACAGTCCCCGCCCAGCATAGTGTCGGTTACAGTGAGATGACTTTCCTCAGGGGCATCTAAGGAAGGACCAGTCCCACTGTGTTTCCCACTTTCTGGTACCATAACAAGGTACCTGAGATAATCAGCAAAGGTTTGTTGTTGGCCTGCACGGTGATAGGAAAAGCTAAGGAAGTGAGACAAATGGACTTTTAGGATTGCAGAGCTGGCGGGAGATGCAAGGTCAGTGATTGTCTTCACTTGCTTCCTACTGTTGTTACGAAACACCAGGACCAAAACAACTTGGGGAGAAAAGGGTTTGTTCCAGCTTACAGGTTATAGTCCGTCACCAGGGAAACCAAAGCAAGAGCTCCAGACTGGAACCGGGAGTCAGGAACTGAAGCCCAGGCCACAGTGGAATGCTACTTGTTCTGCATGGCTTGCTCAGCCTGCTTTCTGATACAGCCCAGGACCGCCTGCGCTGGGGTGGCACTGCCCCCAGTGGGGCAATTAGCAATCGAGAAAATGCCCCCACAGACTTGCCTATGAGCAATTTGATTGAGGCATTTTCTCAGTTGAAGTTCTTCTTTCCATTTGACTCTGGCTTGTGTCAAGTTGACAAAATAACAACAACAACAACAACAACAATAACAACAACAACAAAACCTAATCAAGACAATGGTAAACCCAAGATGAGTAGGGATTGGCTCATTATGAAGCTCCTGCAAGCTGCCTGAAGGAGGCTGTGTTGGTGGTTATCATAGACATCTCCTCTACCCCCTGAAGCTATGGCAAGACCTTGTGGTCAGCCAAGCAACAGGTCTCCCCCAGACCTAGAGGAGGATCAAGCTGTGATAGCTTGATTCCCTTGGCGTGGCAGCTGCAGAAGCTCGTGTGGGCACAGAGCCCAGCGGGCTATGCCAGTGCCCCCGTTCAGTGGTTTGGTCCCCTTCCTTGTCTCACCATCCTGCTTTGATAAGAAACTCCTGAAATGAATGACTTTGTATAAACTGAGGGTTTGGGCACCAGATATATAAGCTGAGGGCATGACAGCTCCTAGGTATGGTTGAGGGGAAGGTTTCTATTGTAGATATGAGGGAGAGGACAGCCAGAGGCATCTGGAAGAGTCCAGAGCAGGGAGAAAAAGTAGTGAACATGTCAGCAGCCTGGACAGAAGAGAGAGAGTGTGCGTGAGAGAGGAGATGACCAAGAGCAAGGGGCAAGAGAGAGGAGGCCAAGGAAAGGAGACAAAAAAGAGGAGAATGTTGTCTGAATCTTAGATGGTCTTTTAATAAAAAACCCAGAGCCAGATATCAGGGTGAAAGCTGAAAGATCAGAGAAGCAGAACAGCCAGTCACTAGTTCTTACCTCTACGAATTCCTCAGCCTAAAGAGAGCGAGTTCCTGTTTCCTCACACCTTATATACCTTTCTCTGCCCTGCCATATTACTTCCTGGGACTAAAGGCGTGTGTGCTTCCCAAACAAAGGCATGAGATCTCAAGTGCTGGAATTAAAGGTGTGTGCCACCACTGTCTGGCCTCTATATCTAATCTAGTGGCTGGCTCTGTCCTCTGATCCTCAGGCAAGTTTATTAGGGTACACAGTATATCACCACAGGAGAAATGGTAGGATTCTATGGGAATGAGAAGCTGGGGGATGGGAAGCCCATGATCTGGAGAGGTTTAGGGTAGGGGTTGGGCTGAGAAGAGCTAAAAAGAGCCACAGGTACTGAGTGTGCCTGGGGGCCATTGAGCACTTTAGTATGCCAATAGGTGCCACAGGTAGCCATTTGTCCCTTCTGACCGTGATGAGGAATGACTCCTTTGGTAGAGGAGTATGGGACCCAAAATTTGGGGGACTGAAGTTTCCTTTGGCCCTGACAGCCTTGTCATAAATCCTCATCTTAGTGTCTGCTTCTGTAGAGACATAAAGCAAGACATTGCATCTTGTAAAATGAGACACAGAGGGGCTGGAGAGATGGCTCAGTGGTTAGAGCACTCTCTGCTCTTGCAGAGAACCTGGGTTCAGTTCCCAGCACCACCAATGGTGGCTCATAATGGGCCTGTAACTTCAGTATCATGGAATCTGACACCCTCTTCTGGTCTCCAAGGGCACTTGCACCCATGCAGTGCATAAACACACAAGTACACATAATACTTTTACGTAAATAGTAAATTTTTTTTTTTCCGAGACAAGGTTTCTCTGTGTAGTTTTGGTGCCTGTCCTGGATCTCACTCTGTAGACCATGCTGGCCTCGAACTCACAGACATCTGCCTGGCTCTGCCTCCCGAGTGCTGGTATTAAAGGCGTGTGCCACCACTGCCCGACAAACCTAGGACTTGTTTATTTCTGGAATTTCCCATTTAATATTTTTGGAGCACAGTTGACTGTGGGTCATTGAAACACTGGAAAAGTAAAGCAGAGAAGGGAAGCAGCTATGACAGAAATCAAGACATTGAGTACCCAGAGCCCTACAGGGATCTCTTGTGTGACAAATGACAGAGGAGGTTTCTGACCTAAGTCTACCGGATCTGTGCCCATAACATCCTATCCACCCACACATCTACCCTGTTGGCTTCAAGTGCCTGCTGCAGATTCCCAGGGCTCCCACAGAGCTGTATAGAGGGCAGCTGAGGACTGCTGGAACAATCCTGGAGAGCTTCCTAGAGGAGGTGGACCAGAAGCGTCCCAGGATTTAAAAAAAAAAAACGAACAGATTCTGTATTTGTGGCTGGATCTGCCACTCTGGCAAAGACAAAGCAGGTCAACTACTCTCGTCATCAGTGATCTCATTAGAACCTGGGGACAGTGGGCAGACATCACAGAAAGACTGTGACAGCTCAAGGTACTAGCAAAGAAACAAGTTCCCACCTGAGACAAAGAGGCCAGGTTCCAGTTTCTGCCACTGACAAGCTGCCAGAGGGAAATACAGACAGACCCTGCTGAGAACAATGGTAGCAGGAACTGAATAAGATAACACAAGTTAATACACGCAACACAATGGGTGCTCACAAATATGGGATGCTTTTAATCAAGACATCTGTGGCAAATTGGCAAAACCATTTTGGAGACTAATGTGGCAGATCAGAATTAAAACGTATATACCTCTGGTCCAGTGCTTCCCCTTTTAAGAGCCTAGGCCTGGACCTAGGGAGAACAGCTCAGTTGATAAAGCTTGAGAATCTGAGATCAAATTCCTAGCATCTCTGTAAAAACAAACAAAGGAAACAGGCTCAGCTGTCAGGGAGGGGGCAGGAAGACGCTGCAATCTGGCTGGTCGTTCAGTGAGATCCAAATTCAGTGGGAGAGCATGTCTCAACAACAACAGCAAAGTGGAGAAGCAATTGTCACCTGACATCCCCCTCACTTCCACATGCACGTATACACATGCACACAGCCCCCAAAACACCCCCTCACTCAACACACACAAAGGAGTTTAGTTCTAAACCCCTTCATAGGTGAGGATGCTGAGTGGATAGACCAGGGTGGGTGTGCTGCCAAAGGACATGGGTGAGGATGCTGAGTGGATAGACCAGGGTGGGTGTGCTGCCAAAGGACGTGGATGAGGATGCCGAGTGGATAGACCAGGGTGGGTGTGCTGCAAAAGGACATGGGTGAGGGTGCTGAGTGGATAGACCAGGTGTGCTGCCAAAGGACGTGGATGAGGATGCTGAGTGGATAGACCAGGGTGGGTGTGCTGCAAAAGGACATGGGCGAGGATGCTGAATGGATAGACCAGGGTGGGTGTGCTGCCAAAGGACATGGGTGAGGATGCCGAGTGGATAGACCAGGGTGGGTGTGCTGCAAAAGGACATGGGTGAGGATGCTGAGTGGATAGACCAGGGTGGGTGTGCTGCAAAAGGACATGGGTGAGGATGCTGAGTGGATAGACTAGGGTGGGTGTGCTGCTAACGCCAAAACCCAAAGAGAGGAGCGACTCAGATGCTATGTGAGGGGACTGTCATGCCAGTCACAGCTGTGGCAGATAGTGTGACAGAAGACAAAAGATAGCAATGGCGTGCAGTTGTTCCAGGAGAAATGCAGGGTGCACATACAGAATGAGGGCCAAGATCTATTGTCACATGAAAACAACAAGTAGTGCAAGAACTGCGTATCTAAAGCCATCTGGTTTTGTTTGTTTGTGTTTTTTTTAAATACAAGCTTGGAATACACGCTTAGAAACAGCCTGAAAAGATTTGAGAGAAACTCTTAGCAGTGGTGATTCTATGGTATGGGTTCTTAGCAAGGCCAGTTCTGCCATGCAGCCACCCCAGGGATAGTTGGTCATCTCTGTGTTTGTGACAGAGATGGTGGCAGTGTCATTGGTGTCTAGTGGCTAGGGGCCAAGATACTCCAAATGCAGCAGCCCCAAGCAGCAAAGAATTAAGTGTCACTAGACAGAGACTAAGAACCTGCAAGAAGTTTGAGAAATATGAACAGTCTGGAGCATGGGCGAGACTATTTAAATCTCGCATGAGTGTGGTTCACAGTAGCAGCAAGGAGAAAGAACCCTGCTCTAGCCATCACATGCCCTTGTGAAATGTAGGCATGCAGGAGGGGTTCAAAGTCTGCCCATGCTCAGAGCTTCAGTTTCCACCTCTGCAGAAATAGCTACACAGACACCTCCCCACAGAGGGGCTGTTGGCTCACTCAGGACACAGCATACCTCATTACCTTGTCTGTGGGTCATTCCACAGGGGCCACCTGGTGTGGCAGAGAATAGATGGGAGCTCCTGCCTGAGCCCAGGGCCAGCAGAAACAGGAGAACAGGTTGTACTCTGGGGCCCTGGAATCTGTAGCCACCAGAGGCAGGAGGCCGGGTTCCAATATGGCTTCTTGGTAAATAGGCCAGGTGGCCTACAAAACCTGTGACTGTGGGCAAGCTGAACACTGAAGAGGTGTGCCCATCTGGGGACCGTGTATGCATGTAGAGGAGTCTCTAACTTGCCTCTTTCAGGAGAACATGCTGTGGGATGTTCTGTATGGCAAATGTGTTGCTCTGATTGGTTAGTAAATAAAACACTGATTGGCCAGTAGTCAGGCAGGAGGAAGTATAGGCGGGACAAGGAGGAGAAGAATTCTGAGAAGTGGAAGGCTGAGTCAGAGACGCTGCCAGCTGCCACCAGGACAAGCAGCATGTGAAGATGCCGGTAAGCCACGAGCCACGTGGCAAGGTATAGATTCATGGAAATGGATTAATTTAAGCTATAAGAACAGTTAGCAAGAAGCCTGCCACGGCCATACAGTTTGTAAGCAATATAAGTCTCTGTGTTTACTTGGTTGGGTCTGAGCAGCTGTGGGACTGGCGGATGACAAAGATTTGTCCTGACTGTGGGTCAGGCAGAAAAACTCTAGCTACAGAACATGCCCGTAAGTTGATGGAAATGCGGTTTTCTAAAGTGGCTGGCAACAAAATCCTAGCATAGAGTGCTTGACTTGAACGTGTCCTCTTAAAGTTCGCATGCTAGAAACTCACCCCCACAACCTCCAGTTCATATGCCAGCAGCACTGGAGGTCAGACCTCTCGCAGACAATCAGCATTGGATGAGGTGATGAGCATGGAGCCAGCAAGATAGGACTGATGACTTTGTAAGAAAGGAAGACACAGCCAGACTGTATGCCGCCGTGAGATACCCTGCACCATTTAGGAGGCAGCACTAGGCCCTCCCCAGATGCCAGCTGAACATTCTTAGACCACTCAGCTTCTAGACCACGAGCCAAATAAACCCCTGTTCTTTATGAATGACCAGACCCGGGTACTTTGTTATAGCAACAGAAAATGGATAAAGATACAGGGATAGTTGCTTCTGGCACCTACCTGCACATACATTTTATGCAACACCACTCACAGATATTGCAAATGTCACTGTAGAAAGAGACCAGGACAGAAGAATTAATATTCTCACCACTCTATAGCCATCTGCCTCTGGGTGCCTCTAACAATGGAGTCCCTGACTAGCTTGGGAGGCAGTAACCATTACTACCAAAATACACGCCCCTCTCACATCCCCCCAACTTCCGTGCACACGCTGGCTATCCTTGTGCTGAAGATCAAGGGTCCCCAGCTGCTTTTCAGAACTGGGATACATCTGAAAGAGACATCCCGAGCTTGGGTTGCCACGTTCTTGCCTGAGAAAGAATTCAGCAACTTCACTTCCCCCTGCCAGGCCCTGAACTTGACTATAGTCCTGGCAGACATGGTTGCCAGACATGGATAAGGTCGACCAGCTAAATGTTCCATGCAATATTTGGGACATACTTACACCTTAAAATTACTTGTTATGTATCTGAAATTAAACATTTATTGTTTTCATTTGTTAAATCCAACAAGCCAATGCCCAGGCAAGAAGCAGTTGTCCACTTGCTTGGGCCTAAGTAGCTGGCATCAGGAGAGAAAGATTCTCCTGTTCTCCACTGAGAGTCTTCTTTGCTCACCATGAGAACTTGAATTCTGCTGGGGTGCCTCAGTGGGCACTGCTCTGGAAGTTCTAGAAAGTCTTAGGCTTTTGGGGTCTACCCAAACTCTTTGGGAGTGACTTCTGGAATCTATTTGACATAGACTTCAGAGCCGCCGCAGAGTTCAGGCTTCAGGACACCTCTTTGCCATAGTCCCATTTGAAGTCCTAGTGAATTTGTAAATCTGGGCATTCATTATTAAAATGGGGGTGCAAACTGTTTGGGTCTCAGGACCGCCCAAATGTTCTCAGAGACTTGGCTGAGAGGAAACCCCCTCTCCGTTGTGGAGACTTCAGTTTACGGTGGCCACTGAACATGTGTCACACTCAGCCACACTGAGCACACTTTACCTTTTACGAACATCCTGGGCCAGGACTCACAACGAGGATCCTACAAATGGAGCAGCCAAGGCTCGGAGAGGTGGGCTCACTCCTCCAATGTCACCCAGCCAAGAAATGGAACAGAAGGATTTGAGCGTCGGTTGAATTTCTCTTTGTTGTTAGGATGGTAGGCAAGGTTTTGGTGCCTTGTGGCTGGTGGGAAATAGAAAGCCAGCTCTCTTCTAGACTACGCGCTTCAGGAAGGGACTATCCCCTCAGGCAAAGCTGGGATCCCATCTAGAACCAGAGCAGGGATAAAAATTTTAGAATTCCGTTCCATGCCTAAAAATAGCATCAAGCACCAATTTCATGCCAGACACGGTTGCTAAGAAACCCTGCAGGCGTCATCTCATTTTCCCTTGGAGTTGCAGGTGACGTGTGTCGTATAACAGGCTTTTTCATCAAATGAGAGGACCATGTCAAAGACATCGTGTGGAGGACCCAAGGCCACCCAGTACTAAAACAGGATGAGACCTTCCACGTGGGCTAAAGGGGAGCAGGGAGGGACACAGGAAGTCGGAGAGAGGATCCTGCCAGGGCAGGGCACAGGGCTGGGACTCACTTCCTCCTGCCACTGTCACAAATTAGTACAAACCCAGTGGCATAGCAACAGAGATTCATTATCTTCCCATTTGGAAGGTTAGAAATCCACAATTGGTTCCCCTGGGAAAAGGTCAAGGGGCCAGGAGGGCTGTTCTGCTTCCTCCCTGCAGGAAGGGCTAACTCAGGAACCCATCCTGGCCCCCCATCTGCTCAGGCCCGGAGAAAGCCTGCTTAGCAGCTGCAGCCAGCGTCCGTCAGCTGAGGCAAGGGTCCTTCCAACCCCTACACCCAGGGTCTCCCCTTTCACTGGTTTCTTCTCATGCCAGCTCCTCACACTAGAGGACTCAGGGCTCAGCCTCCTCAGGACCTCGTCACTTCTTCAGCTTTATTACCCATCCTCCCAATGCGTTCATGTGGCCAGATGCACAGGTTTAAATTCTACTGATGTCAGTGTTTGACTCACGTGACCGAATGAAGGCATTATATTTGGTGGAGCTTTAACACTCCCCAGTGCCATCAAACCCAAATGACTGTCAGACTCTAAGCACTGACTCCAGAATTTAAATGTGTAGATTTGGGTGACAATGGGGATAAAACACAGTTCCAGCCCTCTAACGGCTCTTGATCTGGGGTTGTGGCTTGGGGACTTAGCAGTTCCAGAAAACAAGCCACCAGAAGCAAGGCTCAGCTCTGCTTCCCAGGCTGGGCCTGCTCCCACGTTTTCAAAGGGGAAGAGCCTGAAAAGGCCCTTGGAGGTTCTGCAGCTGCCAGTGTGCTGCTGCGTGGGGAACACAGGGAGCCTGTTCTTTCTCCTGCTTCCCCGGTAAGAACCAGACAGAGCTGGCTGAAGGAGACCCAGACGGACTGAAGGACTCCCTCTTCTTCACTGCACACACGGCTTCTTATTTCGTGGCCATAACTAGAAGTCAAGGAAAAGCAATGATGTAAGCAGAAAAGAGAGGAGCTGGAGGGAGTCTCAAACTTCAGAGTCTTGTCTGAGGATGACCTGTGCCAAACAGTGTGGGAGGGAGGTTAAAGTAGCGTAGACTTTCATATAAGCTTACTCCTGCCAGTGTGGGCCAGTCCTCTTCAGGACTGGGGTCACATGCTCTCGATGATGTTTATGATGATGACTATGTCCTGGGTGCTGGCACCTCAAACCCGTCTCTGTCTTTACCATACCCCATAGAGGAGCTACCACGGTTGGCTCTTCTGTACTTATGGAGAGGAGGGTTCAGAAAGAGTATGAAGCCTGGGTCTTTCAGAGTGAGAGGGTGCCACGACTGAGATTCAAACCCTGCTTTAACTAGGGAGCCTCTCCAACTCAGGATAGTGAGGCTAGCTATGGTCGGATGTCATAGTGGCACGGAAGCCATGTGCATTCACAAGAAAGATGCTTTGTGTTTGGAACCTGAACCTTCCCCCACCCAGTGGTAAGTGGTACAATCCTCCTTTGAGATGCTGGGCAGACACAGCGGCTCAGGCTCCAGATTCGCCTCCTGTTAGAAGGCTGCTTTGCTGAGCTGGGCTTGGAAGGTTAGATGGATTAAGTGTGCTTCCAGCTTATTTTATTTTCTATTTAGGATGGATTTATGAAGGCATAACTCCATGGCAAGTCAAGGAAGCCTCCGTACTTTACGATAGTACCCACCATGGGCATATGTTTTGTGCCAGCCCTGTAAAGAATGTCCCCTCCAGAGCCCATGCAGGGGGTCCAGGATGTCATCTCAGAAGCTGTTCTCCAGGTAATTTTAAGGAACCCCTAGGCTGTTGCCTGGATGTCAGACATCGAGTCCTATTCTTGTTCAAGCTCGGTGTGGGCCCACTCATCAGTATATCCATTCATTTACTCACTTGCCCACCTAACAAGCCCTCACTCAACCCTATGACCCACTCTTTACCGCCCTCTGTGCCAAGACCTGACCCTGTCCCAGCATTCTTGTGCTGAGGGTCTCAAGGAAGAAAGAGGCAGAAGTGGATGCGCTGGTGTAGCTGGGAGTGCGTGTGCCATGAAGAAGAAGGATCAGGTGGAGAGTCAGAGGCTGAAGAAGGAAGGCAGAGAGAGGGGCTGGTTAGAGAAGTGGCCCACGTGGTGCTCATCAGGGGCACAGTTTATAGAGCCCGGGAGAATGGCAGCACTGTTGGAGGTGTGCAGAGCCAGGAGCAGGCTGCTCCAGGAGACAGGTTTGTGGCCTGTTCTTAATTTGCACACAGTATCTGTAATGGCAGTTCATCTAGCAGCCACACCTTTGTTCTTGTCCTGAGGCCTCTCTAGGACATGTTCCCGGCTGGAATCACTTTGGTTACAGTCAGGGTCCTATCCCTCTCTAGGGAGGGGTGTGCACGAGCCACCAGTCGCTGAGAGCCTAGGTCAAGAACCCCTTCCTAAGAGTCCCCAACCATGGGATGCCTCTGGTGGGCCTCCCAATTCTTCACAGCTTCTGCTCCCAGCCCCGAGGCTTTATTAAAGCTCCTGCTTCAGGCTTGAGAGAATTAAGAAAAAGAACCTGAAGGTACTTAGCCAGTCCCCTGGGGCTCCAGTTCCCTAGGTGGCCTCTCTGTAGGCTGAGTACTTCCTTCCTTCTAATCCTGAGTCTTCAATCCAGCCCAGCCCAAAGAAAGCAATATAGAGACAGAAAACAAGGTTTCCTTGGACTTCTGTATTTTTCCTTTAATATTTAATCTCCGTACCTATCTGTTCACCTGTTTATTTGTCCCTGGCAGGCAGGCATTGATTGAGCTGAGAATTACAGAGGACCCACTCTGAGAATTACCAGGAACAAATAGAAGTCGATCCTCCCTCGATTTCATCAGCCTGGCCAAGGGGTGAGGGCAAGAGGCTAGGGAGCAGAAAGGACGGGGTTGGGGAGCAGCTACCATAGTAAAGCACAACGTGGTTAAACGGTAAAACTACTGTTGGAATACAGAATACAAAGTACTCAATTTCTTGGGGGAACCGGCACAGGCTTCACAGAAGAGGTGACATTTAAGCCAGCCTTGCAGAATCAATGGAACTTTGCTAAGCAAATCATGCAAGGCCTGAGTGTGGCCGACTGAGGCAGGAAGTGAGAGACAGAACCAAGAGAAAGGAAACAGCAGAGCCTCTCAGGCAGGTGGCAGGGATGCCTGTGTCTGTGCCCAGCTCCCAGTTAATTTGCTTAAGCATCTGGAGTAAGGGTCACGTCTACCACTTTGCAGAAAGAGATTTTGAACAGAGAGGACACTTGTCAAAGGCCACACAGCCAGCAAGAGGCGGAACCAGGATTTGTGCTCCATTGAATGACACCTGTATTCTCTACTCCTCCCTCATAGGCCAAGATGATAGCAGCCATGCCAAGGAACCCTCCCTGGTGGCTTGGCAGCATGGGAGAGGACAGCCATGACAGTATTCTCTTCTAGAACACCTTCTTTCCCCCCCATGTCAGGCCTGAAATCTTGATATGGCCGGGGCCACCTCTGTGATACCTCTCGCTATCTGTCTATGTCATCCAATCTTGAGAGGGCTGGGGAAGAGCCACTGTTGCCTAGCTTCCTGTAAGAACTGGGGTCTCGTCAGCAAGAGGAGGCTGGGTGCTGATGGGCACTCTCCAAGACCAGGCAGCCATCTAATTACAGGCCGGCTGGTAATGAGAAGTGTGGGTGGGCTGAGACCACATGGGAGAAAGGGGCAGTTGTGCCTGTCGAGGCCTGCAGGAGGGCTCCACGGGAGCTCCCAGCTCAGCGTCTTGCTGTCTGCAGACCACACGCACACTGGCTCTGGAGACAGGCAGGGGAGATGGGAAAGAGCCACGCTGAGTACTGGCCAAGGGTTATCAGGTCTTTATCCCTACTCTCACATGCAACACCACCCCCACCCTGTCCCGCAGCCTAGAGAGAAAGGTGTTCAATTCATGGAGAAAATGAGACTTCCTGAACTGAAGCAAATTGCTCCTGGTTCACAACACCTGAGGTTCAGACTCAACCTGAGAAAACCTAAACACCTTTGGGAAGAAAGAAGATGCATGGCTGTGGACCTACTAGGGACCCCAGTCCATGTGGGCAGGAAGATGGGACATCCTTTTGAACGTCAAAGCACAGGGTGACATCAGAAGGCTTTGTGGTTTAAGGATCTTTCTGTCTTTGTCTTTCCTTGTTCTCTCAGTTGCTAGGGAAATGTACCACTCTGGGGCCTTGCACCAGGCTGTGCCTCCCATCATTTCCCAACGGTCCTCTCCGGCCCCATGTCCTCCTCCGCTGTACATCTCTTTAATGATCAGATTTATGCCTTTTAATCAGGGCCTGGGGCCCTCTCAGAAGATTTCCATCAACCCTCGGCTTGGACACACTGAAGGGTGCCAAAGACTTGTGACTAACCTTCTTGAGCTACCATTGTGGATAAATGATTTGGCCGGCAAGGGAGCCCTCTTGTCAGCTCTGGTGACATTAGCTGCCTCCGCTCACCGAGGACTCACGAGAGTTCCAGGTGCCATGACTGGCCTGGTGTTCACATGGAAGCATTGGCGGGAGCCCTGTAGGAGTCTGTGTCTCCTCACCTGGCAGGACTCTTCATGTCTGGTTCTGGGCAGGCCTAGAAAGCACAGGGACTTCTTATGCAGTGGCCATTCACCACCAGGTAGCATCAAGCTATGTCCAAAACAGGTGAGTGAGGCTTGGAAAGCAGCAGACTGCATTTTAAAGCCCGGCTTTGCCATGTAGATGACCTGGGGTGTCTG